CAATTGGCTATTTATAGGCATCTCCTCCTCCAATCTGAGGAACAGATGATGTATCTAACACAGAGAGGTGTTTGTGGAGAGAGGGTTAACCTCCCCTGGTTTGCTCACATTTCCCTAGTATAAGTGGAGCATGAATTGACGTCCCTCGGTGTGAAGTATGACGCTCTAAACTGACAGTTTTCCAATGATCGTGGCAATACTTTGATTAGAGAGAGAGATAAACAAAAACAAACGCACCTGTATTTTCCCGCGAGACCTGTAAAATGGACGCCCCGTTTCCACCTCAAGGCAATTATGTGCCATCTGCTCAAGTCTGATTTGCGCAGGGCCGCTTTGTTTTTCGGGTTGTTGATGTAGAATTACGCGCTTTAAATTGACATAATCCATGACAGATTGTGATTGACAGGCGAAAAATTAATAATCTGGCTAAAGCGAGTGGTCAGTTACTTTCAGCGAGTAAAATGAACACCTGGAGAGCATACCATCAGCCAAAAGTGCAAAGTTGACGACACAACATGATATGATGGTATCTATTTATATTCTGTGGACAGCTTGGGATTTTATTTATTTCTTTTATATTTTAGAAGGATTTGATCTTTTTATTTCAAATTTTGCACATTTATGCAAGGCAGGGATCATCAGATTTTCTTTTCTGATTTCCCCTTCCAAGGTTTTGCGTCTTCTGCTGTAATTGTGGTTTTATTGGATATCAAGCCTCTTTTGGCAGAGAACATCTGGGCATCTAAAGCAATAATAGCAACATTTACACTTGTATCTCAAACACCTGTGAAATTTCACTGAGATGTATGAATGGAATATATTGGATTTATCTCATTTGAATATGTAATTCTTTTCCTTTTTGATGCGGGAAGAAGTACAAATAGATTCTCAGTGTTATGTTATAAATGTTGTTGTTGTTGTTCAAGTCATTCATTGACTTTATGTAGCCCCGTCCCTTTTCACACTGTCTTCTGTTTTGTATTTCCACAGCATGAAGGTAAGATCATCAGATTAATGAAAGAAACACTCATTTTAAAATCTCCCCAATCTACTGACATTTGTTACAACATCCGCTTCAAACATTTCAATGCTAATTATACCTTTTGTTAAAGGGATGGTTCACTTTGAGATTAATTTTTTGATATGTTTTAGCTTACCTCAAGGGCATCCAAGATGTAGGTGTCTTTGTTTCCACAGTATTTTCAATTTTTACATTTTTCGGTCAAACCGTTGTTGTCTGTCAGTCATATAATGGAGGTCTATGGGGGTCAACCTCAAAGAGCATGCACAGAGAAGTCAAAATTAAACATGATTTAATGACTCGTGAATGTAAGTACACACTGATGGCCTAAGACACGAAACAAGCGGTTTGTGTGAGAAAACCAGCAGTATTTATTTCGTTTTTACCTCATGTTAACCGCCATGTCCAACTGATCTGAATTAGATGTCCAACTGAACCATGTTCAACGTTCCGCCGGAAGTGATTGCTTACGTCACTTGTTGTTTACACAGAGATGTCAGAAGTTTTACCTTTCACTGTGAATATCTAAACATATTTAGATATACGTGAAATCGCAATGGAAGACAATTTCGATATATCTAAATATGTTTAGTGAAAGGTAAAACTTCTGAAATCTCTGTGTAAACAATGAGTGACGTAGACACGCGCGAGAGATCACTTCCGGCGGAAAGTTGAACATGGTTCAGTTCGGTTCAGTTAGACATCTGATTCAGATCAGTTGGACGTGGCTGTGGTTACACGAGGTAAAAACGATATAAATTCTGTTCGTTTTCTCACACAAACCGCTCGTTTCGTGTCTTAGGCCATCAATGTGTACTTACGTTTACGAGTCATTAAATCATGTTTAATTTTGACTTCTCTGTGCATGCTCTTTGACGTAGACCCCCATACCTGCATTATATGACTGACAGACAACAACGGTTTGACCGATGTTTGTCTGGAGCACGAGGTCTATAGTGTGGTGGATTCAAACTACTTCAAACTGAAAACCTTCAAATTTCAAGCTTTTCAAACGTTTTCAAACTATCCAGTCAGGTTTTCTCAAGCCAACCTCAGCATTTGTTGTAACAAACTTTTTTCTACTGCAAAAATGGAAGTTCACACAAAAAAATCTAAAGATGGCTGTGTTGTTTCTTGTTTCTCTGGAGCATCTAGAGTTAATAATGTTTGTTTTTTTATGAGTATCAAGGTCTGTGATAAAGATATGTTGATGAAACTTGGACATATGTTGATGAAACATTTTGCTTAACAATGTAAACTGCACACTACACATTCTTATCTTCTTACTTAGATTTACAGTTTTATTAAAATGCGTTTTTTTGATATTGGTGTGTGTAATTTATGTTGTAGAACAAAACGTCCAAGTATCGCTGACTTATGTTCACCAGTCACCAACTGATCTGAAACACAGGTTGAGGATCCTAACACAGCTTTTATTAGGGGTAATCCACAATCATAATCCATGACAGGCAAGGTTCAAAACTACAAGGAAGACAATCCGGGAAAACAGGGGAATCCAGAAAATCAGGCAGAAGGTTAGAACCAAAAGAGGAGAGAAAAGAGAGCGCTCAAAAATGCAGTGCGGCACAAGACTTCGCAAGAGTGACTGAATAAACAATGGGAAACAGGTGGCAGTAATCAGAATATAATGAGTCCAGGCAAAGTTTTATGGGAAAAGTAGTTGGTGATGGAATGGCAAAGGACTAGAAATGAGTGCCCTCTGGTGGAAATCAAGGGCAGTCCAGCTGGTGGATGTAATATAAGACCCCATTCTCATCCTTTGGCGTCATATAGGTGACGCCATATGACATTTTGTTGAAATACTACGCACATAGCACCCTTTAGCGTCAATATAACACACAGAACCCAAGGCGTCATACAGGTGACTGATGGCATCCATTAGCGTCAATATGAGACACAGACATACCCCAGACCTAAACCTACCCAACAGTGCATGTTATATTGATGCTAAAGGGTGCATTGTGCGTAGTATTTCAACGAAATATCATATGGCGTCACCTATATGACGCCAAAGGATGAGAATGTGTTGAATATAACCTCATATCTTAAAAAAAAAAAAAAACAGGAAAATCTCAAGGGAATCAGTCTTCCGGGTTTTAATGTCATCCCGGCACCACTCTATTATGAATACTATGCATTCTGTGTAACATATCCACCTTATTTTGTAACATGGAAGTAAGCTATTTTGTTTGAATGTGTGAGATTTCTGATTCATTAGCCACTATAGGTAAATAACAAGAAGAACACCAAAGTGCTGAAAAAACTATTTGCGCTTGTTTATGATTACGATAATAAATTAAAATAACATAATAACAAATATCAGTTTGCAGTTTGACTTTTTTTGTACAGGTAAAATAACTGGAAGCAAATGACACGCACATTCAAGTTAGCCGTGCCTGCTCTTACTTAAAAATAAGGTGGGTGGATGGCTGAGCTGAGAATTAATTTCCTCTTAATCACTTTCATGACCTCTAATGATTTTTTTTCAGTTATATGAGAACTATAGGCTCTAATTTCGCTGTTTGTGCAGTTATATTCTTTAAGAGACTAACCTGAGGAGTGATTGGCACTAGTGGGTAGTGCTATGGACCCAGTGGTAGGGCCAGTAATTTGCTACCACAGCAGGACTCTGCGCAGGAGTGTAGTTGTGACAGGCCCCTGATACACCACCAGAAACAAACAGGAGGAAAGAGAAGAATAAGCTCTTTCTGTATTTGATTTCACTTGATTTGTTATTAAACAAGATAAGACATGCACATGTTCTGTATCGGGTTCAAAACAAACACACTTACTGATTTCATCGCAGTGTGTCGGCCCAAAGGAGGAGTGCGAGAGCGAGACTGAACCAAGTTGAAAGTCATGTCAACACTAACAATTTAAATAGATAATACACACAACATAGTTAGGCGTGCATAAGAATTAGCTTGAGCCAACACAATTAGTATTCTTAATTTGTTGCTTAATCGAAGAAGAACATCATCAGACTTACTTAATTAAGAGGGTGCGACAATTAGAATAAACTGCACTGCAGTATATTGATTGCTGACAGCAGCTTTCCCTTTTCCAATGGAGTTAGCAATCACAGAAGCACATTGAGCTAAGATAAACAGCATTGAACCCACTTCAACACTGAATACACAGAATCCAGATTTTTTTGATCACTTTCTTCACCAATGAACAAGAAAGTGGAAAGAAACCAAACAATGAACTCTGCCTGGTAGGAAATCTCACACCATGAGAACCAGGCTGTCACATGTAAGGTTAGCCATTGGTTGGGCCGAACAGTTCCTGGAGTTCCCACCATGGCCCCTCCGTAAAGGTGTTATTTAATGAAAAAAACAAACAAAAAAAACGTGTTTTCAATTAATTCTCTCTTTTTTAAGCATTTTAATATGGATTTCAATTCCTAGAAACTGTATAAGACATTTGGTTCTAATTCCAAACTGATGCCCTCTGGTTTCATGTTTTTTATCAAAATAAATGTGAAACTGGAGTATGTGCTGCCACCTAGCGTCTGAATGGAGCTTAGCAACTCTAATAGTGGGAACATAATATAGCTTTGATTTCCAGATGTTTGCTGCAGTTGAAGCATTATACATATATATTAAATTAAAATTATATGTAATATTCAAAAATATATTTTTTCTCTTTGTTAAATAAAAAACAATGCTCTCAAATTGTCATACACTTTCCTTTAATGTAGCCTATCACATTAAACGTATAAGGATACAGATTTTATGTTACAGGTTTTTAGATGCATATTATGGTACAATGATATTCACTACTGTTTAAAGGTCTGGGGTAATTTTTAATGCTTTTTAATAGTAAAAATAGTTGTTGGAGCCATTATTTTGAATTTTTTTTTTCTTTTTTTGACACTAGAGGGCGTATGAGTATTTTGAGTATATTCAAATAAGGTGATGAGTTAACTTACAGGTGCGCTGATGGAAAGTCAACAAACTTTTTGACCGTGCTGTGTTGAGCGTTGAATTGCGCAAGACACCGTTTGTTTTGAATCAGAATCATTATTCTGAAGGTATGGACAATACATTTATTTTATTCAAGACAAAAGCAGCGTCCGAAACTGACTATCAAAACCATCTGCGTCCCTAAAATAATGTAATTTATTCCTGTGATGACAAAGCTGAATTTTCAGCATCATTTCTCCAATCTTCAGTGTTACTTAATAAGAAATCGATTTAATAAGACGATTTGCTGATCAAGAAACATTTCTCATCATTATCAATGTTAAAAAAGTTGTGCTGCTTAATATTTTTTTGTTAAAAACCATAGGAAACCAAGGATTCTTTGATGGAGTTTAAAAGAACAGCATTTATTTGAAGTAGAAATCCCATAACATTATAAGTGTCTTTGTTATCACTTGCATCCTTGCTGAATAAATGTTTTTTTTATTCTTACTGACCCCACACTTTTGAATGGTAATGTATATTTTACATACATTTTCAACCTACTTTTCATCTCCTTTCTGATCCTGATGCGTTTCTGTTTTTATAAGCTCTTCCTCTGTCTCTTCTTTCTCATTTTCACTTATCTCATTTCCTCCAATATTCTTCTTTTCTCCCAGGCTTTCCTCTCCTCCATCACCCTCTCCTCTCTCTCCTTCAACCACTGGCTCCTCTACATCTTCCTTCTCACCTTCTCCTTTCCCATCGCCAATCTCCCTCTCTTTTACTTTTTCCTGCTCTTCTTTTTCTCCCTGTGCACCCTCAGCCACAATGCCTTCCCATTCTTCTGTCTGCAGTTCCAGTTGTTCCACTCTTTGCATCATTTTGCGGGCACTGGACTCTAGTTCAGCTATCAGCCGAGCCAGTTTGGTCTGCAGCGTCTCGAGGTTGGCTTCTAAACGGTTCACCATGTCCTCTGTTTTCTCTACCTCTCCCTCCCCTTCATCTGTCTCTTCCAGCATCCCCATCTTTGTCAGGATTTGACGACCCTTCTCCTCCAACAGGCCCTTGGCAGCAGGGTACTCATGAAGTGTTTCAGTCAGGTCCTCTTTCGACAAGCTGAACAGATCTGAGTAACCAATGCTGCGAATGTTGGCTGTTCGTCTGTTTCCTGATTTGTTACCTGTGCATTAATAAGAGTTGTGATGAATTTGTGTTAGTGATTCATAATTATACAAAGTTAAATGAATAGTTTACTAAAAAATATACTGTACTTTTTAATCATTTACTCCCATACAATCCCATTTTATATTCTTTAATTTGTGGAACAAAAAATGAGAGTCTCAATTTTTTTCTATACAACAAAAGCACCAAAAACACACTAAAGCTCCATAAATAATCCAGACTTCTGAAGCAATATAGGTAGCGGTGTTATATATTTAGTGTATATTCTTTGTATAAATTACTATCCACATTTCTTGAATGAAAAACAGTTTTGACATTTTGCTCCCCTTTTGTGTTTCATGGAAGAAAGAAAAGAAAAGAAAAAAAAAAACAAGGGGGCAACCGCATGGGGTTGAGTAAAATTATATATAAAAACATCAGGTCAATTATTCCACTGAAACATTGAGAATGTGTTATTATCTCAGGTCAACTATATAGAAAAAGGGAATTACTAAGCCCTCAAAGGAAAGTGAGAACACTTTTTATTCCATAAAAAATGTTTGTTGTTGTTATGGGAAAAGGAAATAATAAAAATTGAATCATGATGGATATATGTTGTTATTGTAGTGGATACTAATTCTGCCCTACAAAGCAAAAAGGCAGTAAATGCATTTTCGGTCAAACATTTGTTGTTATCATTTTCATGACATTCAAGGCATCCTTTGTTATGTGACAAAACATCTTATCTCAAATGTGTGTCGTTTGGGAGAAAAATGGTAGTTGTTTGTACGGTAACTGCAAAAAGCCCGAGTTATAGTCATTTTTCTCAGTTCTACACTCTGTGCCTTTTTGCTTTGTAGGGCAGAATTACAGTATTATGATTATGCTGAAATGACATGATCAATAAGTTATGCCAACATATGGTTTTACCAACACTATCTCACGACCAATTCGTACGAATTCGACGCATGATTAAAAAGTGTCTAATTCGTACTAATTCGTACGACCTCACTCGTACTAATTCGTACGATTTGTCTAAACCCACGTGATGGTTAAGTTTAGGGGCGGGGTAAGGGGTAGGTCATTCGTACGAATTCATACGAATTGGCTAATTCGTAAAATATGTACGATTTAGCAAAATCGTATTAATTCGTACGAGTGAGGTCGTATGAATTGTTACGAATTAGCCACTTTTTAATCATTCGTCGAATTCGTACGACTTGGTCGTGAGATCGGGTTGGGTTTTACATAGCTTTATCTCATCAAATTAAGTTAAGTACAAGTTGATTGTACTTACAAATTTTAAAGAAGCAACTTATATTTTTACAGTGCTGTACTGGTCATTTCATACCCTTGATATTCAGGATACTGATTTCTCCAAAGAAGTTTCCATCCCCCAGAACAGCAAACTGAGTTACTCCATCATCAGCCACCACTGCCAGCTTCCCCTCTTTAATGATGTACATCTCATGACCTACATCACCCTTCTTGCATACATACTCTCCTGGGCTATACACCTAAAGATGGTAGAAGAGATTCTGGTATAATACTGTAAGATTTACAAGCAAAGTATAAATAAAATGTATATTAACGACAACAGCAAACATATATCATATGTAACATATACTGTATATATATATATATATATTGCTAAGGTCAGCATGCAAGACTAGATTGAACTGACTCTAATGTTAGACTTAATCTTGTCCAGGGGTCCATTCTTATACCTCGGTTAATACATCTGAGATGACTCGACAGCTCTTCTAATCATGATAACTGATCTCTCTGGATAATTTGGTTCTTGAAAACAAATTTGTTGATTTGAGTAAAATATCTGGATTACTGTGTGTTCTAGGCTGCATCCATAATCACATACTTCCCTAGTAAGTGAAAAATGAAGTAGCCTTTGTCTGAATTCACATGACTCATAAAAGAGTAGGCAAAAAGTACCCGGATGAGCTATTTCTTCAGCGAGATTCTGAAGTGTGCATATGATAGATACTTTACTATCCCATGAGGCCTCGGGAGAGAATTTGTGAATGGCAGTGAAGCAAGGCAACTGACACCAGTAGATGACATGACAACAGGATAATGACAACATGGTGAATGTAGTACATCCAGATTACATTCATACTACATAACATACTTTTTTAGTGGTAGTGAAAGGCACTAGTGCATTATTCAAAATAAGTATACTTAAAAGAGTATGTGATTTTGGACGCAACCCTTGTGTTCATTGGAAAGAGCAGATGTATCCATACTCAAAACCATGATCATCAATGCAGCGATTTGCTGGCAGCAAGAACAGCAACATAATGATATAATATTAAAAAAAGAACATGACACACCAGATGAAAAACTCGAATTTCTGGTTTCACTTTATTTCGATGGTCCCTTCAACACATTTAGTTGACTATAAGTAACGTTGCACCTAAATCTCTACTAACTCTCAAGGGTTAGGGCTAGAATAAGTTGACGTACTTGCAAAGTTACAGTACTTATAGTCAGATTGTCTGTTTGAGGAACATCACAATAAAGAGTTGGCAGATATTAAGCAGACAGTCTACTAATACTCTAATGAGAGCAAGTTGACATGTAGTTGCAAAGTTAATTATAGTCAACAGGATGTTCAAAAGAGACCATCAAAATAAAGTGTTACCGAATTTCTTTTTAAGAAAACAGCAAAGTGTATCTCAATGAGTAAAACTAAACTAGCTTATAATATACTACACAACATTATAATATTATTTTTCAAATTAGTTTTTAAATTATTTGTTCCTGGTTCAATATAGTACTGTTATATATATATATATATATATATATATATATATATATACATATAAAGTAGCAGTGGCTGTGATAGACTTTAAGCATCTCCTCCAAGCCAAGCTTAAAAAGATGCAATATAACATGAAATAAGCCTGTTCCTGAGTAGGTTCGAGTGTATGGACCTGTTGCTATGACAGCAATTCCGGGATGAGCTTTGAAGAACCTACAATCCTGGATAATGTCAAATCGTTAACAGTAAATCCAGATAAGTGAGTGGTCCACGTATGAAGAGCAGGCCCCAAGTGTGCCATCTGTTTTCTAACCTGTGGGGTGAGTTTAAGTACCAGCTGCTCCAACAGACTTTTCTCACAGTTCTGAAAGATGGTGACTTTAGACAGAGTGGGGAGATGCACGCTCACTGCAGTTGCTGTCTGAAGTGTGATAGGAAGATGTCGAAGAATCTCATTTTCCCGTGTGATCTTTCTGTTCCAGGCACATCATTTGGGTGTAAACAAACAGTAAAAATGTTTTTTAATCAACTTGGGAACAACTGGTTAAAAGTATGACTAAAGCAAAATGGCTAAGATTTAGTTCTGAGATTGTTTTTTGCAGATGTATTTCAGCAATTTTTTTACACTATCGCTCAAATCTGGGATCATTTATGATAATGAAATCTGGGTTCATTTATTTGATACAAATATACAGTAAAACAGAAGTATTCTGAGATATTATTACAATTTAAAAATAACCATTTTCTCATTTATTTAATATGTATTTTATTCCTGTGATAGCTGAATAAAATTATTGTTGTTGTCATTAATTAATTAACATTAATACCAGTATTATAGTAGGCCTACTTGTATTAATGTTAGCAAATCTGCTAAATATGCCCAATGTAGATTAGTCGGATGTAGAATGATGAATTGTATTTATTGTGTTCATTTATATATGTCTTACAGTGATTTAGCATTAGGGAAATCATTTTATGAGCATGCACGTGCCTAAAATCCAACCCTGTTGACCCCAAACTTTTAAACAGATTTGGTGTCTTTAAATATTGCTGTTTGGGCTCACACAGGCTATATTAAGAAGACCCACTTGTTGATGTGCAGATGCTGGTACCAGTCGTTGACGCGTTGCTGCAGTTCTTTGCTGATGCGTCGGCTGCGCAGGTAACCCTTCACCAGCTCGTGATTGGGGAAAAACACGTTGTCACGATCACGCAAGCTTGATATCACGTCCCCCATGCTCCCCACGACGGATGCAAACACCAGCACTGCGATCAACATGTCAGCGACCAGAAACAGAAACTCTTCTTCGCGCTCGGGCCTCGGAGTGTCCCCCACTGTGGTGAGGATGAGAGTGGAAAACCAGAAGCAGTAGAAGTACTGGCGTCTCGTGGAAGCAAACTCCGGGTCGGAGATGTTGGGATAGACCCAGGGATCCGCACCAAAGCCTATGTAATTAGACAGGGAGAAGTAGATGCAGGCGTTCCAGTGGATGAGCACGAAGATATACAACATGAGTTTGGCGACGCGGAAGGTGTTCGGATAGGCTGTGCGCGTTTCCATGCGGTCCAATGCCTCGTTCAAACGGCCCGTGCGCAGGAAGCGGTTGACCCTGACTAGAGGTGTGTGGATCCCCAGTTTCAGATAGAGCAGATCAGTGGGCAACAGAGAGATAATGTCGCATTTGAATCGAGAGGAGCGTAGGTAACGCGTTTTCAAACGGGACAGGTCTCGCACCAGGATGCCCTGCTCCAGAAAACCTTTAAAGAGAAAGTCTTTTTTTTAAAAAGGGTGTCTGGGTTTTCCAGACGTCCAATGTCGATGGACATTAGTATAGTGACAACAAAAAATAATTCTATTTTTTTTATTTTAGATATTAATCCAAAGTGAAGACAATCTGTATTTAAGCACATTTATAATTAAGTTCAAAGTTAAATAAGTAGCCTGCAACGATAAGACATACAAAATACAAATAAATAAAAAAGGAGATAAGATGCACACTTACCTGTGCGAAACCCAACAATCATGTCAAGCACAAAGACCAAGTCACAGATATAATCCAAGGTTAGCCATGTTGCCAAATATGTCTCTTCGATTGTATAGAAACATGTCCTTTTAACAACAAAGACCATTTAACTTCAGTTCTCAGGTGCACAAGCATAATGTTTTCTTAGCAAATTAACAATTGTTAAGACTTGAAATATCTAACTCCAACTTCTAAACTTTTAGTGTCTTCATTTCACAGATACAGTTAATGTTGCCATTTCAGTTACAATTTTCATGAAATATAGGCTATTACTATCATATTAATGTAAAAATGAAATAAAAGTTTTTAAAGTGTACAGCAGTCAAACCTCACTTAATGTTTTCCTACCTGCATATTATGATGACCCAGTTGTAGCAGATAGGGAGTATCATAATTTGCAACCATGTATAGTAAAACTCTTCAGATGGATCGATTATCCATTCCTTCCAGCTGACAGCAGAACATTTTGTGTTAGTCTTTATAGCTTTAAAAAAAAAAACCCTAACTACAATTATTCATTTCATTTGTGTGTATTGGAGGTTGGAGTTTGGTGTCAGACTTAAACTTCATAACATTACAACATTACAGTAACAAAATGTGACTATAAAATAAATATAATGAACTGAAACTCACTTTATTTTTGGAGTCTCCTCTTTCTTTGTCTTATTTGATTCTTTTGCCGTATTCTCTTCCTCATCAGCTTTCTTGATCTTGCTTTGCCATCCCAAAAGCCTTGTCCAGCGATTTGTGTTCATGTTTAGTATATTTACAAAAGATTATGAAGGTAAGTGAGTTTATAACAACCATTGTTTGACTACATAGCTGTCACAACAACAAGCAACCCCACCCATAGCACAGGTACTATGTGATGCTCATTGCCATGACAACATTTTCTCCAGAGGAACCAGGTAAGCAGTTTCCTCCTGGCTCAGCAATCTGCGTAAACCAATCAGTTCAATCAAAAAAAAAAAAAAAAAAAAAAAAAAAAAACTCTAAGGAGAAGAACAGAATGTGACTGAATGGAAAATATAGCCCAGGTTACTTTCAAAAATAATATGTCAAGTATCTATCTTGGACTTGGAAAGCTATTTTTATAATGACTAATTATACCAAATGATATCTGCAAATTTGGAATAACTTTAGAACTAACCTTTTAGTGTCTTCATTTCACAGACACTCATATTTATTTGGCTAGTGTTGCCATTTTACAATTTTCTTGGGGGAGAAATAGGGTAACAGGAAACTAGGGTAACGGAATGAAAAATATTTTTTAATAGGCTACTTCCAAAATCATTTATCAAGTATCTATCTATTACCACCTGATGGCAGCATTTATATCAAAGTTGTGTTTTTCAGCACAGCAGTGGTCGGACGAATTTTATCATGGCCAAGCCAAGGCATCAATATTAATTACGTCACGTGCCGTGTTTGGGCGCTAGGCTACATAAAGGTTACCAAAAAAACGGGTTCAATCCGTAAAAAAGGTTCAAACCAACGCAACGCGACGTGATAATTAAATTAATATACATACTCGACTTCACCAATTCACCATTTTCGCCTGCGGTGGCGCTCCGAGCAAAACAACACACTTCTCGCCATGACCGCCTCCCTCCAATGTAACGTCAGAGCGTCCCGTGCGCGTGGGTGTGTCCGTGGAATCTGAGGAGAAAGATGGCTGCGGGACGAAGGGAGAGGTTGACAAATCTCAGAATCGCTGTTTGAGGATAGCCAGGTTACGGCGGACGACGAAGCGGGAAACAGCACTCGCTCGCGTAAGTATTTTTTCCTCGTTTTTTATCGGTCGAGTCTCACTGTGTGGCCTCGTCACCTTTCGTTTCCCGCTCCGCTCGCGAACTCAACGCACGGCGTCAAATCAAATCTGACCCGTTGCGAGCTCTCCGTGCAGTTAACGGTGAAACTCCTTACAGATGAGACTAGAATTATTACTGCCTGTGAAAGAAAATATGCACACACCCTATAAATCACGATCATGTTGGAAGCGATACAATTAGGCATGTTTTGTGTTACCCCTCTTGACATTGATCGCATAACGGTTCTTTACCGTTAAGTGCCCTGTGTGTGTGTGTGTGTGTGTGTGTGTGTGTGTTTAAAATGACACATCACTGCGTGGGAATGTGTATCGTGACATACTCACATTGAAATCAAGAAAGAGGGAGCTGCATTGACATAAACTTGATTGTTGTTAAAATATGTGATTGGCAGCTGGTTTGGTATTTGTAGGTCATTTTCTTGGAATGAGCCAGTGATTAAGTCAACCTATTTAGTGTTGTTGTTTCCTGTGCTGCTATAAGTGGCTTTTCACCTGCACATTTACAGTAACATAATGCTTACGTTGTCAATGTCATAAGTGATGAACCCAGACTTTTAAAATGACTGTTATGTTGTTGTGTAACGTGAGTACTCAAAACTTGGCTGTTACTTGGAACTAGTAAGTGTATGTGGTTAAAGTCTGCTTATGGTCGTTTATGCAATACAGATGTGATGTATGGTTGAAAACAATCTCTTATGAATATGATTATAGCAACAGCATTGGGTGGCAGCAATATAAGCTGCTCATTTGAGTCTCTTTTTTGTCATGTGTTATTCATATAAAACCCTGTTGAGCTGTAGTGCACGATGTTGCTGTGTTTATGAAATGTAAGAGTAGACAGCATGTCCTTTGCTTTTGGAGGGTTCCTGGGTTGAATATGCTCTACACAATTGTAATGGGAGGTATTGAAAGGATTATGAGTGGAAGTGGCCTGGAGATTTTGAAGGGTTTGCAAAGTTAGTAAACATGTTTTATTAATTTATGTTTTGGTTTTAGTTAAAGGTACAATATGCCTTTAACTCCTAACCTCTTACAATAACAAAGGCGTATATTGATGACGTATATTCTGCATTGAGCAGAATTATGGACAGCGCCACGCCGCCACACGCAATGTGAGGCCCGTGGATATAAAGGAATCAGGATGGATTCCATTCCATCTAAAAACTCAAGTGCTGAATTAATACTCACACCGGTCAGTTTATTAGACTAATTAAACTTGAGGTAACGCAGCGCTGTTTCACTTGCTCTACACTATCACACGAAACGGCTTTTTTGAGTGTGTTGAATGTTAGTTAGGTTGTTTGTTGGTTATATGAGAGTAGCAGTGAGCTAGATCAACATTAGAATAACATACAGATCATCATTCATATTCTAACTTTTCATCATGTTGAACTGGTCATGTACATAACATTGATTAGGTTTATGTAAATTTGCTCACCTGTGTCTAATAAAGTAACATGTAACACTCGCATCTCTGTCAAGTTGAAGTTAGTCGCGGACGTGGAGCTCTCGGCATCTCGAAAGATGTTGATCTTCGTTTTAGTCCTCTTTTTGTCATACTGTCTGCTTGCCATGGTCTATAATGTTTAAACAAAACAACAACAACAGCGTGAGTGTCCTGCTAGCATAATGGGCATAACCCAGTTGTCAACGTCTCTCGCCATGGTTACTGTGGCAGCGCAAGCACAAACCTGACGGAAACCGAGGCTAAAGGCCCTTTCACACCGGATGCGTAACGGAAAAGCGAAACGAAAAAGCGAATAGTTCGCGTGAGAATATTTCGCGTCAAAACCATTCACATCAGCCGCGACGCGAATTTGCGACGTTCAGAACTTCAACATTCCAAAACATTCGCGCCGATGAAAGCAGACCTGATTTTCATCAGAAAACGTAGGCTATATACTTATTATTATAGCCTATAGGTGAATAAATATAGATTTTATATTAGATGTCTTTTTGAAGTGATGTTAACATGATGCTTTAATAGGCTTAATAAAAAAAAAAATCCCAATCTCTAAATAGCACATTTTCAAATAAGCACATAAGTCCATTAGGAAAGATAAAGATGAATGCGTTCTTACCGGATTCGATCAGTGCATTTTGAATTTATATTGTTTGTCTGATGATCTGGCAGCTTCGATTGGACCTTCTTTTTAATTATGTGCATGTCAGTAACTCGCAGTAACTACTGGCAGGTGGAGCTCACTTTCACCAGTTCATTAGGTCCACAGTTGCCTGGTTCCTTGTCCACGCAGCATTCATCAGAGCAAACACTCTCTCCACGAAGAGTTTGTTTGTTTGTGATGGCTCCATTAACGTCTGTGCTGTGCATTTTCTATGTTTTCTTATTACATTTTTTTAAATTGTAGAATTGTTATTTAAAGGACGATTAAATAAAAGAATGCAGACAAAAAAAATGCGGTACAGTGCTATGACTTGCGGGACGTGGCACATAGCTTCTTCATCACTATCATTATCATCCAGTGAAGACAAGCTTTTTATTTTATTTAAAAGCAGAAAAGAAGGTTTGGGGCACCCACTACCGGAGCTAGAAAAGGTGAGCTGTCCCATTCATCAGGGGCTACGTTTACATGCAATCAAATAAACACTTTTAGTAAACGTATTGAAGGCTCAAATGGACTGAAAAGCCTTGTAAACACCCGGTTGGGCTCGATACGAACGAACGAGCACAACGTCCCACCAGTCCTTGTTTCAGATATTCATTCACAGACTCGACACACAAGCAATCAGAAGGTCCGTCCGTCATTGCTGCGGTCACGTCACCTTTGTTTCCCTGTATATGATTGGCTGAAGCCTTTTCTTTCGCCTCAAAAATCGACATCGAAGCGAAAAAAATAAAAGTCGTTTTTTCGCCGCAGCAGATTCGCGTTCGGTGTGGAAGCACTCATTACACAAACAGCTGATCAAAAAATAAAACCATCGCGCGAATTATTCGCGCGTCAAAATCGCGTTCAGTGTGAAAGGGCCTTAACGCAGATATGACGCCATTGACTGGTGACTCCCTCACCCCTGATCACACGCCCCGTTTCCTTGGTTACAATCGTAATTTTCTCACGAATTACAAATGGTTGGAAACATTTGGGATATTGTAAGTTATCAACTAAACAATAACATTGGCCTAGTGGTAAAATATCCAAAATTTTACTGCAAAAATCCTGCATATTGTACCTTTAATTATAAAACTCTGATTTAATCATACTTTTGCTCCATAAACTCAATAGCATGCCATATAGGCTAGCTGCCAAAGCAACATTTTTATGCCATAAATCCATTCCAACCTTTTTTGCTCTGGTGAAGTTGTACTTCAGACTTTCTTCCTCTGTCTTTCTTATGCATACATAAACATACACTTGCTGGAGTCATTTTGACCCATTCTGTTGGTTTATTCCCCTTCAGCAAATGCCACGGCAGTCCTACACTCATTTTAGTGTCAGAATGACTGAACTTTGAACTCTTGATGATTAAAACCCAAGGAATGAATGTGACCTGTAGAGCAAACAAACTTGCTTTGCTCTCTCTCTCTCTCTCTCTCTCTCTCTCTGTTCTGTTTTGTTGTTCTCCTTCTTAGTCTCAACCGTCAGTGGTGAAATGCTCTAGTTGGCTTCCCATGCAGTTAGTTGTTTTTATGATTCACTTTTTCCTTTCATTGGATTTTTTACCTCCATTGGCATAAATATGAAACATGCGCCAACAGAGAAGTAAATGTGTGACCTAAAAAAATGAAGCAAGGAAGTACAAACATTTGGTTTGTACCAAAGAATGTAAATTGTATGCGAAAAAGTAAAGCGTTTCATGTTAGTTCATAGTACAAAGGGATAGTTTACCCAAAATTGAAAATTCTTTCAGTAATTACTTACCCTCATGTTGTTCCAACCTCTTAAGACCTTCATCCATCTTCAGAACATGAATTAAGATATTTTTGTGTTATATATATACTTTTTTGTTAAAAAAGTAAGAAATAAAAAAAATAACTTATTTATGAGAAGTGCCCTTTTTTCACTTGAGCCCCTGCCCCTCAAAATGTCTGTGCACGTCCCTGGCTGTGGCAATAAAAATAATTTAAAAAAAAGCTC